GGGGGGGGGGGGGGGGGGTTAGGCTCAAGGACTGGGAGAGACACCCAATTCAAAGTGAGTCTCCAAAAGTCTCTGGGAACACCAGAAAAAAAAAGGTTGCTAGACTTGTCGCTGGTGGGGTCTGAAAATGTGTGACATGTAAGTTGGCAACACTGCTGAAGCAGGAGGACACACACACGGAGTGATGGGGGGAGGGGGCAGGCACAGCAAACGTGGCGGTGATGACACCTGTGCACCTCAAAGCATGCCGCATGGTGCTTACTCACCTGTTCGGGGGTTTGGAGGGAAATAACTGTGCACCTCAACTTGAGGCTTTTAGTGTTTTCTGCTTGGATGCATGTCTGTGTGTACGTGTGTGTGTATGTGTGTGTATGTGTGTGTGTGTGGGATCTGCGTGCTGCTGAGGTCATCTACTCTTGCCGGCAGGCTCCATCACTTACAGTAGTGATGGCGTTCAGAGCCGTGTCGGCGCCAATGCTGAGGTCTGTGCCAGGCACATTGTTGGAGACAGTGGCTGGAACCATGACCATGGGCACACAGAACTCGTCATATTTCCCACGAGCCGTTAACAATTCCAGCAGTGACAGGAAGGCCTGCAGGGCAGAGCCAAGGGCTTTAGTAGCGTCTGCAAGGGTGGAAGCTTTGGCAGGTTTGGCTTGGTCGTGAGGTGCTACTTGCCACAAGAAGGGGGGGGAAAGGCATAAGTGGAGAATGCCAAGGGGAGGAGCCGGGTCTATCACAACGGACAGCAGCGAAACAGACAGGTACCACTCCACATTCACCCCCATAATACACATCCATATACACGGAGGATAACAAATTGACTTGCATACGTCACAGGAAGATTAAAGCTTGGTGAGCGTCTAAATAGGGCTGCGTGAAATGGCTGGAAAAAGCAGGTGGTCTCTGTTTTCAATGAAAAATAATCACATTATCTAGGATTGATACTGTTCATGTTCATTTAAATTATACAAAGCACGTTTTCAGAAAAGTTGGCATGTCAACTACTCTTTTAATATTATGGATTCTTAATGCTAAAGTACTTGCTCTGCAGCCTTAAACAGAAATATATATCTTTTTGCTCTCTTATTGATGATTCTTTGGCTGAGTCTGGAAAAAAGTAGTGCACAACCACCCAATCTTTCTTGGAAAGACTAAATCTTTGATGGTTCCATTTATACTTATACCCTTACACGACATCCTTTAACTTCTTAACTGCGGAATCTTCCAGATAAACTCAGGTTGTTAGTATTCAGTTATACTTGTCTTAAATTCTCATCTTTATATTTTCTAACTACAATATACATGGTCAGTGAAGATGCTTTTAGTGGTATTTTTCACATAAAAGAGTAATCATGTTTTGTTGGATTTAAAAAAAACCTTTAAGAAAACACAACCTTTCCGAAAATGCAGTTTGTATACTCAAACTCTGAAGTAAACTGACATGTTACATTTAAGCTTCTCTCTATTTTTCCTGTTTCAGGCAGATAAATCACTGAGCATGAAATGAGGTAAGACTGAATGAGAACAATAGCATTTAACCAATAACTGTACTATACAGCTAATGTCTATCTGGTGTCATGTACAAAATATAACAGCTGCCTGAATGATAATAGTCTGTTCAGTCATTAATATTAAACATTAAATAGCTCATAAGCTTGAAGACAAAATCAAAGTTGAAGCTTAAACACTCACAACACATAAAGCATTCAAACATACCTCAAATCCACCAATAACCAGAAGTGCATTTATATTGTGCTTTCGCATCTGCTCAGCAATTTTGTCAACATGCTTAGCAGGAAGCGTTCTGGGGAGCAGAAAAAAAAAAAAAAAACTGTATTGTATTTGCATACTCAAACAGACGTGGATTTTTTGGGATAAACTAAAGCAACATTAATAAGCTCAATTGACTCCACTTTTACCTTTTAGTTCCCAACAGGGAGCCACCCTGTCCTGTCCATCCTCCAACGTCCCCCCATTTGATTTCTTTTATCTGGAAGGATGACAAAGGCACTCGTGTCAAAACAGAGCTCTAATAAAAACTTCTCAGGTTGTTGCTTCGATCACCTTCACATTTATTTTGTTAGACCTCATGGTTTAGTGTTTTATGTAAGAATTAAAGGAAATCCAGTTGAATAATAATAATACTTAGTTGAAACCAACAGGTTGGTGTCATTTAAGCTGAAGCCCATTTGGATTGACCCCCTTAGGGTCAATTGTTATAACTGGTCAGAGCTCCCTTACCAGTGACACTGGTTTAAAAAACGTTATAATGTAACCTATGCGTGTGGACTGAGGTGCTTTTAGGGTTCTGACTGAAAGAAACACAAAAGAGGAAAGAATGTGAAACTGGTTCAACCTGTAATGGAACAAAGAGGGGTCTTACACACTGAAGTTTTTTTGTTTTTTTTTTACTTCGGCGCCTTTATCTCTCTTTAAAAATGTTATCTCCCTCGGTTCCAGTGACGAGGTGAGGAGAGATTAATTCACAATCATTCCAGAGTTTTGCTTTTCTGTCTATTACGTCCATATTCAGTAAGGCTCTGTTGCCATCTATTGGCTGGCTGTGGTACTGCATTTACTCGTGGCGAGTCAGTGGGAATTGGTTTACATTAATCTGGGAGATTATCCCTCTGGGTTTTTCTGATTATTCTTTAGTGAGGGAGCAAACGGTGATTGTGCACTATCTGACTCATTGAGCTAAGCCAATTCTCTCAGAGTTATTAATGAGAAAATATGTAAGGCGTGCCTTGGAAGTTTTCATTATGCTTCTCGTGTCAGATTTAAATGGCTGTGAGGACTTGGCTCACCTGTCCTTTGTAGAATCCTTCAAATCCATCGTTGACGGCGAACATTTTGTGCCCCTCGGAGATGCCCACCCTGACGGCTGAGCGGACAGCTGCGTTCATGCCCGCTGCGGGGGCGCCGACATTCAGCACCGCCACGTTGAAGTTGCTCTGGGGGTTAAAAGAGCACAGCGAAAGGTTGCGCGTGCGGGGCGTAGCTTCAGACGTGACAGTTTAATCTTTCTAATTGCGGTTTAACTAATCTCGCTAAATGAGCGACACGCTGGCCCTGCAGAAGGACATGGTACGTGGCTTCTGGCGTTCCCTCGGCTACACGCTGTGCTCACAGAAGTCGTCATTACAAATGCGGAGGGCTGTCCGACCCCGAGGAGAGCTCCTCAGCGTGGAGGCTGCCACGCTCCCTCCTGTGGGGGGCATCTGGCCACGGCTGGACAAGTCATCTCCCAGCAGGGGAGTCAGGTGTCATCGGGTATGACTAATGAACTGAATCCGCTGAACTGCCTGCTCTCCGAGCCCCCCCCAGTGCGGGGCCGGGTGTGGGTGGAGCTAATTTTTGTGCGCTGGACTTACCGTCGGCAGTTCGGATTCTGGTTTGCGATGCGCCAGCAGTTTGTACGTCCTCAGGTTGTTTTCGAAGCTCCTGCAAACCAACAGACAAAAGTTAGCGTTGCTGTTTCAATGAGCTCGTGCTACAAAGCTGGTGGATGTGTGAGGTGAAAACGACCCCGCTTTGCTCCTCGTGTTTATTAGTTAATTAGGACGCTGTCGGCCGCTGAGACAGCTGTCGGCGCCGATAAACGTCAAACCAGCTGTCTGCTGCTCAAGGGAGGTGGTGGCTTTGCCACATCCAGCTGGTCTGTCAATCTCACCTGCCCCGAAGCTTCACCGCCTCCTCGAACCGCTTGTGGTCCATGGCCTTCTGGACTTCTTGCGTCTAAGAAAAAAAGAGAGTCGATTTTTTCAAATGTTTTTATTCATGCACCCTGCAAATTCATACAAAAAAAAAAAAAGTCTCACGTTCGGAGGGTCTGATTTAAGTGGACAGAACCCATGCCTAATGGAAAAATGTAGTAACAGACAAATAAAACATGTTGTTCTCTGTTCAGCCAAGAAAAAAGCATTCTCAGGTATCCTCTGTTCTGACCTTTAGTGGAGCATTAGTGACATTACCCCCCCTCCCCTCCCCTCCCCGAGGTCTATCAAACTCCAAACATGACAGGCAACAAAGCTCTTTTGTGTGTTACTGGGGAGATGCCATGCTCTTACATCATCATGCTGGCAGACATCGGCAGCCCTTCCAGAAGTCTCAGTCGATCGTTAACCGACTGCCTCTGAAACAATGCCACTTTCTTTTGAACATTAGTGCCACTCTGAGCCCAGGCGGCTATCCCCACTCACTCCAAAGCTTGTGTACCTCTGTGATGAGTGTGTGCGTGCACGTGTCCTCAAAGCGCGGCGTTTTTTTTGGACCGCTGCCAGCGCGGCGCTTGCACTCACCATCTGTACGCACTCCATCAGAGGCAGGCGCACCGACTGGTTGCCGCACAGTGAGACCACACAGGCCGGCGTGTTGGCCGTGGTCTCCAGAAGGGCCAGAACAGCCTCCACGCCCATGCGGCTAGCCTGCGTGGGCAAACACACGCGGTTAGAAGTGCTTTGTCACTTTCTTCGGACTTGGTTTGAAGTGACCGTGTATCCGAGGGCCAATCTGTGCATCCGTTCACGTGATGATCCATTAATCTGGTAATGGGCTTAACCTAAAACCTGCGGCAGGCTCTCCTCGTACACACAACACACACGACCAAAGAGAGGTTCTGGGGAACAACTTCTACTCCAAACAAAGGTTACAATGTGCAACTACTTACATCTAGAATTTATGCAGTGAAAGCACACCTAATAAAAAGGTCAATATATCTAACAAATGAAATTATTTATATTTTTTAAATTCTATCATGAAACACCAAAAACCTAATTTTAGATGGGATAGTGGACATATGAACTTCATAAACCTACCAAGATGCGGTCAAAGGCTGATGGGGTCCCTCCTCTCTGCACGTGCCCCAAGATTGTAACTCGTGTGTCGAAACCCAGGCATTTGACAACAAGCTATAAAAGAGAGGATTTAGCTTTTTTCTTTTTTGAACACTCGTGATTGTTTCTCGTTAATATCAAATGGTGCAAACGCCAGTCATGCTTTTCCTCTCAGAACACAATTTGATAGAAAATGCCCAAATAACACACAGGAAAATAAACACACCAGCACGCCACGCACGCGATATATAAAAGCTGAAGAGAAGGGGAAGCAGCAAAGCACAAGCAAGCCGTTCTAATTTTTCAGTCATGTTAGCGGGGAGCTTGTAACCCACAGAGCGTCCCAGCCAGGAGGAGCTAAACCAAATAAACATCTCCCGGCACAAACAAACAAATAAATAAAATGCCAAATGAATTACAACCAGTTAGTTGGGGGGTTCTGACAGAGCTTCGTAGCACCTCTGAGGAAATTTAGAGTGTTGAAAATTGCTGGAACACAAAGTCAAGCTAAGATTTGGTTTGATCTTGCTGTGAGGTTTAGAGAGGATGTCTTACAGCATGTTAGAGTAGAGTTCGGTGAAAGCTGCCTTACCAAACTAGAGAAGTGTGCCGGATAGAGCATTCCAGAAACACGGCAACAGAGTCAAAGCCACGTCGGGGCAGCAGGTGCAGTGGTAGAGTCATACGGGAGGCTTGCCACACAGAGCTCTGTACTTACATTCTTTACATAGTCAGTGGTAATGGCTTTGTTGTTACGATCAATCGCCCCCTCGGCTACAATTATGATATTCAGCCTTTTCATCCCCGCACGGTTCTGGCGTGGAGGAGAAACAACATGACAGAAAAACTGAGAGGGTGGCTGCGACGTGGGCTTTCAGAAGCACGGGGCCAGATGATGATGAGCCCTGGACGGGCTCCCCTCAAACGCTCGGCATCTCATCGTCAAAGAGGGAGCTAAATTGAAAAGTAGGAAATGAGCCGGGCCCGTGAGGCTGTTGTCCATCAGGCGGCTCTCCGTGCTTCTGGCTTCCCCTTTCTTTACACTAAGATACTCACATCTTTGACAAAACTAGAGGTTATTGGTTTCCCATGCCTGTCAATGGCTCCCTCTGCAACTATGATTATGTTCAGCCTTGTGCCCCTGGAACGGGTCTGAACCATAGAACGTTGTCATGGGTTCAAAGCAGAGAGAAGCAAAGTGAAACATCGCAATACTGAATTTCCTTACTGTAGAAGAGGATTTTAAAAAAAGCTTTACACATCCTGGATATTTGGTACTGTGTGTGTTTCGTTGGCTTTAAGGTGAGGAAGCGAGTCTGGACTGAGTTACCGCTGACAGTTTCTGACACATCTTGTCCTCCCATCCATCCTCTGGAGGCATTTCGGGGATCAAAACCCAATCTGCTCCGCAAGCCAGCGCGCTCACCAAAGCCAGGTAGCTGCGATAAAACACAGACAATACACTCTGATTATACAGGGATGTGATAACACATTGTATCTCTGCCCGGTGGGAGAAAAAAATGGGATTTTTGGATCTGCTCGAAGGTTTCTGAGGTCTTACCCACAGTGTCTGCCCATGACTTCCAGCACAAACGTCCTCTGGTGGCTGTGAGATAAGAAAGTTAAAGCTAACTCAGTGAAGGACTAAAAGGTTTTGGCAACAGAGTTTTAAGCGCGGCCAAATCCTCCCTCTCACCTCTGTGCCGTGGTCATGATGGCGTCCACCACCTCGATGATTCTGTGTAAGGCGGAGTCGGTGCCGATGGTCATGTCGGTTCCGCAGAAGTCGTTGTCGATGGAGCCCACCATCCCCACGATGTGAAGGGCCGAGTACTTCTGGACCGCATCGGCCTCGATCAGTCCTGAAACACGTTAAAGATTCGGGGTTGAATAAGAGTGTTTCCCACCCACCGGGAAAGCTTCCAGCTTGTTGCCATAACATTACAGAACGGGAAACAATGGAGGCTGCTGAGTTCAGGCACAAATCTAAACAGCTTTTCACTGCATGGGATGTTTCTGGGTTTACTTGAGGTCGTTCCCGCTGTGCAGATTTTAGAGATAAGTACATAAAAGCTGCTCTTACACACTGTGAATGTGTGTTTGATGCTGTTAAGGGTCAGATTTCTCTCCTGGGAATTGCAGAAAAAGAGTTGCATCCCCCCCTTTACCCTACCTTGCTCGACGAGCTCCGCCAGCAGGCCGCTCCACTCCTCCCTGAAGAGGTTGGCTCCGGTAAGGCTGCCGTCTCCACCAATCACGCACAGGTTGGTGATGCCACGCTGCACCAGGTTGTGAGCGGCCTTCAGCCGCCCCTCGTGGGAGCGGAACTCCTTGCAGCGGGCGCTGCCGATCACGGTCCCACCCTGATTTCAAGCCAGAAGAATACTACTTTTAATTTTTTTATTATGATAGCTGAGTTTTACATTAATAAAATGAAGCATCCTGGTGAACACGCGTTAGCAAGGGATCAAAAAAGCAGCTTTTTCTTTAGTCTCACATGACATTTGCTACATTCTGACTACTCATTGTTCACATTTTAAACTTTAAGAATCTAAAAATACAACTAAAACTAAGTTATTATCATCAGAGATGTGGGATGCTGCCTATTACTCACCACTTGTAGCATGCTGGACACACTTTCCCATGTGGCCTCCTTTATGTTCTCCCCACCATCCACCATACCCTGGTACCCCTGATCATGAAGAGAATGAACAAATTTCTTAGTCAATAAGAATTTAGAGAAGGAAACAAACCCTCAACCCATCTTGAACCCATTTCAAAAGGTAATATGTAGGAATTTGTTCCATACCATCTACACATAACTGTTTATAATAGCTTAACCAATGTGCCTTTGAAAGAAACGAAAGTCAAAATATTCCAGCTGTTTATTTCTCTGAAATTAGGCTGAATTTTATGTAACCGAAGTCTGTTGCACCGATAAATTAAAAAGATTAATATCAAATTAGTGTTAATGTGTTTTTAAGCATGATTAGTTGAAGGTTACTCAAACATTTTATACTTCATGCTCTATTTAACAGTTGGTTTGAGGTGGGAGGACAACAGGTGTGACTATTCGCTGCCATTAAAAATGTTGAAATTGGTTTCAAATTTGAGATGTACCACTTTGTGGTTCTCCATCTGCTTGTGCGCCACTGACCTCAGTCATAGTGAAATTAGTTTTTCGGGCAGAAACAAGGTATGGTTTTCAATAAATTAGGTTAATTCCTAGGTTTGCTGGAAATAGGTTTACTTAAAAGGTCAAACATTAAAAAATGATGATCATTTACGTCAAAACAAACTGTGTCAATTTTACATGAAAGGATGGACAGGAATGAACAAAAACTATGTTTGGTGGAGCTCAGCGTACTGAAAAAAACAAGTGAAGTACCAAAAAAAGCAAAACTACAGAGCAGTATCAATCCTTTTGAACAGTTTAGAATTTGATCTTTCTTATTCTGTGCAAGTGAGCCACCCGGGTGTGGGGTGGAGGTTCAGATGAGGCATCTGCTAAAACCTCATTTCACTTATGTAAGAGGACATAAAAACATTCACAGATGTACTGGGATCCCGGTGTGAGCAAACAGAGGCGCAGCGCTCAGTTCCTAGAGCGGCTCCAGCATCTGCTGCATGAATATAAACAGTCTTGCACTGATCGGCGGAGGCTGTGATGCTCCAACCAAGTCGTATGTATCAAAACATTCAACAGAGATGAGATGGGTTCCCTTTTGCATATTAAAGTTGAACTCGGTCCTCTAATAGGATCAACAACACCTACTAACGTGGTATGGGTCGCACGGTGCTGTGATCAGCCATCACTTGGTAGCAAGAAGGTGGAAGAATGTTTTCTCTCTCTGTGAGTTCTGTTCCCCCGTGCTCATGCATGCAAGGTAAATTAGTGATTCTAAGCTGGATGTGGGTATGAGCATGCACGGATGTCTGACTAAAGGTCCAGGTCCAGCTGGGCCTAAACCCGGGGACCCCCTGCACAAAGCACAAAAAAATTCATGTCCAGGCTCACCTCTCGTATAAAATAAACCTTTGCTCCCACATACAGACCCATCCGGACCACAGCGCGTACAGCGGCATTCATTCCTGGGGAAAAAGAAAAAAAAAGAAAAAAGAATTAAAATAATAAAGAAGCTTTTGTGTTACAGCACACAGATGTGCATGCTAAGGTAATGTGAGAGCATTTGTGTTTGGGTGTTTAATCTCAGGCTCTCTGTCTGTCCGCTGCCTTTTTTTTCTTTAGTCATTTACAACTGAATGCTGCCATATTTGGTCAACAGATTGCCCAGCTCCTCTGATGGCCGCTCAGCTTTCAAAGCGAACTCATTAACTAAGACTCTGCAACGTGACTTGAAAGTGGGCGACTGGTTGGCTTGAACATCGACGGTGCAGATAAAAGACAATGCTTCACCCACTGTAGGCCAACAGGAAATTGGCAGCCTGGACGAACTCTACACTGACCGCTTTCTCAGAGACCGAGAGCGCAGTTTGCAGCGTTGTTACTGAGCAACCAAAACCTTTTTGGCCGTCAGAGACAGTGCTGTGCTGTGGTCCCTTTCATTAGATGGAGAAAAAGAACCAACAGTACTGACCAGTGTAGAAAGGGCGGACTTATTGTCGTGTTACATAACTATGCCGAAATGAACAACCAGCTTTAATCACTGAATCAGAGCATGAAAGGTTACCTTCGTTTTGCTTGTCAAAGTTTCTAAAGAGGGTCGGTTCCCTCATTCTGCATGACTTGACACTCTCTCTGGCTAAGGCCACATAATACCCTCTGACACCGGCCTCACTGCTTCACTTCTCAGTGACTTATTCCTGTGTTGTGTGTGTTTTCTTTGCTACCATGTTCACGTTGGACTACACAGACAAGTTTGAGTGTTATGGTTGAATTCATTTGTGTCACAGTCCTTCATATTTTGCCGTTTGCATCAGGCTGTCCATTAATCAGAAGCGGAAATCATGGTGTTCAAAGCGCCAGTATCGCTAAACCAGAAATTAAACATGCTGAGTTACAAAGGGCCTAAACTTGCATGCATTCATGAGGAGATAGGAAACGCTAAGATTTTCAATGACAGAGTGAAAGAATACGGAGATTTTTTGTACAGGGGTAAAGATAAAGGAATTGGATATCCGTTCTTCAATAGTTCAACAACAATAAACTATGAAGATGCTAAAAAATGTTCCTGAAAAAAAAACATACATGCCCATATTATCACGAAAAGCAGCTGTTTAAAATCTGACCATGTAAATGTATCAAGTTGCATGAAACTGTGTCTTGAGAAACATGTGCTCCTTTTGTAATGACTTAAATAAGTAATTTACATAATACAAAGAAATTCACCGCCTGAGTTAAGATGTACTTAGAAATGGACTTGATAGAGCAGAGGCAGAATTTCGAGAGAAAAAAAAACAAATGCCCTAGCTCTCACTATTCATATTTTGAGTTTTTCTTTTTTGAACTTGTTGCTCTTTTTTTAAATTATTTTTGTCCCTCTCACATGCTGTACCAGTTTTTATTTTTTTTCTCATTTAGTCCAAAACACACAGTCCACTATTATGTTTGGCTTATTTTGTTATCTGAAATAATTTTTATGTGGCACTTAAAAGGTCTGAAGTACTAAAAAGAAAACGGCAATAGTCAAATTGCTCAGTTTGTTATAAGAAAAAAAAAGGACGAAGAAGAAAAGTAAATCCGGGTATTTGGACGCTGTTAGTTCCCATGGACGTGAAGCCGTCTCCGGCGGTACTTGATGTACGTTGGTCAGGAGCACATGACCAGGGTTTTCCTCTCTGACGTATCACCGACTAGATGAGACGTTGCAGCAAACTCGGTGCCGCTCATCACGTACACAGGATGCAGGCATCCCACTGCAGGTCCTTTTTTAAGCTATCTAACCCTAACGTCTTATAATTTTCTATCAAAACCAGACGTTTAGAGGTTTTGGCCCTTCCTCAGTGGTAAATACTTTAAGGTGTATAATTTACTGTTGCCCCTTCCACTTCGTGCCAATGACCTCATCATTAAAATGAACCGGGCAGTGACAGAATTTACTGCTAACCTAAATTTGAAATAAGTTACCATGAAACGGATTCGTGCAAACAGGAAAAACCGGCATGTTTTGACCTTGACATTGCTGAACTGGTGTCACAAGAGTGCTTACGAGTAAATTATGGTTAGCGAGTTAGCAAGAAGTGTCATGTTAGCCTGCTAGCTAACTTCCTTAACGACTTGAACGCAATGTACAGTTAAATTGTTGAACTGTACTTGTCCATTCTGCCCTGAGCTGACACGTTGAGCGAAATTAAGGCCTCCCGGCTTTTCAGCATCACACTGGTGAAAACGTGTATTTTCGCCCTCTACGGGCCTGTTCATACTCACACTGTGATACATCTATGAAATTCTATCTGTGAACGTGGGTTTACCTTGAGCATCCCCTCCGCTTGTCAGTACAGCGATGGCTTTCCCGGATCCCGACAGGTTCTCAAAGAATATTTTCTTACTGTCTGGCTGCGCCATTTTCACTGTATTTATTTCAGACCAATTCGAATAAGAAAATATTCCGAAGGGGGGGCCGCAATATTGTAACTTTGTACCGAAATGATGAAGGGCAACAGTCCTCGGCCCCCTCTGCCTATGATATGCCCGCTGTGCTCTCCTCCCTCTTCCGCAGATATTCGCTGATTTGCATCAACTGAGCGTAGGCAGATACTGGCAGAACATTGGGCCAATCAAATATTTCCAAGGTGGCCTCAGCCGGGGGTTGAACCAATCATAAGAAAGATGATTCTTTGGTAGGCGGGTTTACCGGTAAGGAAGAAATGTGCGTCGTTCATGCTAAGTTGTTGAGGAAAAGTAGTTTTTTTACCCTCTAATTGAAGCGTCGCTTTGATATGATGAAGGCATCTGAATGGCGAACATAACTCACTTTCTCAAGCTTAACGGTTACTCTGTGTCATTATGATGTACAAACGCCAGGAATGACAATAAGTAGTGGCAGTGACACCAAGTAAATACGCCATTGTTATTATCATTATCGTTTTTATGCACACGGTGCATAAAAGTGTGCAACAAAGCGCGACAAAACTTGAAAGCCATTTGCAGACATTTAAAGAAACACAAGTCATCAAGATATGCGTCTATTAAATATATTTTCGTCAGTTGTTCAAATTTTTCGAACTGTCCTTTTATAGTTTTGTGGCGTTGGTTTTATTGTGCTTTTTGTACCAATTAGAGTATGCACCTATAATGGAGACTGGTGGCCTGGTTTGTGTATTTTAATATTTATTTGAAGCTCTGCTTTAGTTTTACATCGCTTTATGATTATATTTGATCTTATTCTTGTTCAATGTATAACAGTATTAGATCTATTGATATTTAATTAATTTAATTTTTCCTTCTTTGATATCTTTGTACGATAGGGGTACTTTTTGGGCACCTATGAATCTCTTTAATGTAGTTTTTTTTAATAATAATTATTTTTCCAATAATACTTCAAAACCTCTTCGCCACACAACAACAGGCTACTCATTTTTATACATTTCATACATTTAAGTTGTCAAGTCTTTCTCTTCCTCCCCTTCTCCATCTAATGCTGCACTGAACTGAGTTTCTTTAAAAAATCTTTTCTGATATGAATTTTTGACAGTTGTTGATTCTGAATATATGCTTTTCAAATTGTTCAAATTGTCAGAAGGCACCAGTGAACTCTGTTGCTACCTGAGCACATTTGTCACAGTCTTTGCTCTTACCTTTCAGATGTTTGCATCACCTGGAAGACAGAGTGAGTTGAAAATCCAAATAACAAGCAAAAAAGAGGACATTGGACATGGATTTTGGCTGAATGTCACCATCATGTGGACGTTTGATGAACCTACAAGTTTCAGCAAAAAAATAAATAAATAAAAAATCAAAATTTTGCTACATCTACAAATGGTAAGATATATTTTCAACAACTGTTTTAATGTGTCCTTATTTTTTGGTGAAATCCAGTCAAACTGTTTTGTTAAGAATCCTCTTTTTGAAAAGAGGATTAAAAACATAAAAAGTTAAGTCACAAAGCAAAATTTGTTCTGTTCCGGAATAAACATTTAGATATGGTCAAATAGTACAACCCATATAACATTAACAGTATTATTGTTTAAAAAAATGAATGAGTGAAGACAAGATTGAACAAAAAAAAGAAATATTAGATGCATGACTAAATGGGCATTCAAATTGAATTTTAAAGCTTCTGTCCTTGTCTGCTGTATAAATTGCTTATACAGAAGTTGAAGTAATAATTGCCAGAACAACAGATTGAAGTGTACTTGAGACTATCAGTCTTTTAACATATCTAGAATTAGTACTGTACACACAGAACTGTTGGTACTTCATAGTCTGACATGCAGGAACATTATCACAGACATATCACTACAGATACTGGATTCAATCAACATTAGTTCATATAACATGCATGCACATGTCACACGGCAGACAAGACAAATAATGATGAAACACATGTAATGAATACAGTGAAACAGATATAGCACCCTTTCAAAGTCTTTAAATGTTACATTTTAAGTAGAAAAATGAATTTCAGTTTTCCCAATGTAAAAAATAGACTATACTCAGTCATAAATTTAAACAACTGATATAAAAAACAATGAGTTAAACAGTTATTAAAATGAATTTGATTTGAACACAGTTTGCTTTAAATGTAACAAAACTTAAGCAAATTTAATTTCTGGATAAGAACTTTCAAATGTCAGAAGATTCAGAGAAGTGTTAAATTCCTGTTGTGTATCAATAGAATACATTGATCTCGGGGGGGGAGGGGGGATTTTTAGCGGAAAGATAATTGTGTCAATAGCTAGTCTACGCTACGAAAAAGAAAAAAAATAGTTTAGAAAAAAAACCATATAACCCCACAAATGACAAGTTTTCACTCTTATTTCTGTTTTTCGATCTTCTGCCACTCAGAGCTCGAATTGCTTCCCTTACATGAGCACGTCTACCCCCTCGGGCGCTTTCAGTGATCACACACTCTCATTCGACAAGGCTGCTGCCAAGATGGCTTTAGTGGAGTTTTCTGAAATCTACACTGCCAGCTGGAGACTTGACGCAGGGCCCCTTCATTTGTCTCTTATCTGTGCTTATCTTTTTTACGGTTCACATGGAAAGCTGTCAGAGAATGCCATCAGTCACAGGATACCATTTGAAAGTGAAAAGGTTTAATCCCCGTGACAAATTAGACAAGTTAAATACGCAGCAAACGTATGAGTTTTATCTGTGAAACTGCAACATACTGTACACAGGATTGCAAAATTATAACCTGCAAAATTAAGGGTTTAAGTGGCAGGTAAGTTTTCAAGCTTCCAATTAAACTAATGACAAGAAGGGATTGAAACAAGACAGTATGATCCATCTCGTTGTTGCCTCTGCTCTGTTCTATTCAGTTCATCTTAAAAGTGTGTAATGGGAATTGTGGGGCACCATTAGATAAACTCAAATAATAGAAATTTAATATGGTCAGGTTTGGATCATTAGTTTGATGGCTTCAACCGTCTCTCTCCGCGTCTCCATGCCTGTAATTATAAACTATATTCGAACTGAGCAAAAATGAATTGTTTAACATTGGAGTTTTATTATTGTTGCTTAGCAGCCATTGATTAATTATATCCAAAGCGTTTATCTTCCTTTGCATTTTCTGAACAGCAAAATCTGGCACTCTATGCACACTAGTCGCTGTCCCACAGAGAGTTGTCCAACATTTCTGTAATGTGCAGTTCTTTTTCGGATTTAGATTCACTACGGTGTAAGCCGATTGTTATCTAAGATGAACGAATGTGCATTTGGCTTAGTTATATCACAGTGGAGAACTTTCAGAGGGGGCACATTTTATCGTCAGTAAACCCAGTTTTCCACAAAATATCTATTTTTCTTGTTGTTTGGGGGTCAGTTGGGTGACATCTTATACTGCACCAGTAATATAAATTTCAAGATATTTAAGCTGGTCTTTATAGGCCTTCATTGCATGCGTGGCAATAACATATTTATTTGAACAAAGATAAGGTTATCAGTAGCAAACAATTTTCTGACTGCTGACACTATTAACCCGCTAATAAGCTATCAAGCAGTGCTAACATCATGGCCATTTGCATGTATAATTTATAGCATTTAGGAATGTGTGTTTTATGCCTACAACTAGGAATATTTACATATGTTTACACTTAAATTTCTTTTCATACACACTGATAGTTAGCTTGCAAACATTGATAGTTAGCATTAATGAATTGAAACTGAGGAAAAAGGGAATAAGGTTATCTAAATATGTAAATAAAAGATTAATTTGACCTAATAAGTGGACATATCAAATTTATTCAGATTTAACATTGTATAAGATGGTTCTGAAGGAAAGAAAAGAGGATGATTAAAGTCAGGAAGCTAAAGCTTAATATATACACTGAATCTTGAATTGAAATTTATGACAAAGCTAGACAGATAATATAAATGCCTATGGTGGTCACAATTAAATAAATTGGATCTTAACTTGATCAGCATAATGTTTGGACCATTCGTAGCTATGACACTGTTTATTTTGATGGATTTCAATAGTCTTCATAAAATATTCAGATCCAGCAAAAATAGTTACATTGCCCTTCATCTATTTGAAAATAGTTTAGCGATACCAATAAGCCCCGGGCCAAATTGGAAATGAAAAGTGATACGCACGTTAATCACCACTATCAATATATCATATGTTTGAAACATTATGGTTATTACTATGATGGTTGCAGCAATATTTTGGTTGAAGACCAATTAAACTGTTTCGCAATGTTCAATCTGAATGAAATGCATTCTTACTCAAATCGCCGACACAGTTTGAAACTGATTGTAAACTATTATCTCCCAGCAGAGGTCACTCATGACCCCATCCACTGTCCCAGCAGCCATCTGTCCATTAGGCAGAAGCTCAGTTTGTCAAATTACATTTACTGCTTGGTCATTTTACACCCCAAAACCCAGGTTCCTTATTGCATTGCTCATTACCACTTGTGTCCCAGGGGAAATCATGTGCCAATCCGAGCAGGTTTCCACAATATCGCCTCGCATTGATTGTTTGTTTATTGGCTGCAGGTTGTCATTTAGATTGGTTTCTTTTTGTTAGGATTAGGTTTTAGCAGATTTTGTGACCCAGAGGGACAGAGCACAATCATTAGCCATTCCCAGGAGGAAATGCTGCCACTAAAGTCGCACCGAATGGAGCAAGTTGTTGCAAAGCTTTATTTTCTTTTCCCTTTTCAACTGCAAGTATATACTGAAATATGTGCACCTTGTCACAGTTTCAGCTTTTTTCAGAATTAAAAATGCTATTGTATCGTGCTATTCTTAGGTGTATATTAAGAACCTCATCAATAGAGGAAAAATGTAGAATCATTTAAAAAATGTACAGGTTTATTTTAACTTTTGACACAATTTAGGAATTCTACAACCAAACGGCCCACTTGGATTTGGTGGTATTTATGTGAAAGTGTATA